AAATTAGCTTAGACACTCTTTTTCATAAAACAACTGCTTACATTGATCACAAATAATATTTTGTAGGGTTGTGACAATAAAATATCCAAAGAAGCAACAAAAGATTAACAGGTTGACATCATAAATGGGAATTATAATTACAGTCATATGCTGATTAGCCCCCTCTCCCCAGTGGCACAGCGGTAAGTCTGATGGCTTATAATGCTAAAAACCGGATTTCGATACAAGTGGTGGGCATAGCACTTATAGCCCATAGTGTAGCTTTGTGCTTAATTACAAACAAACAAACTTTTATTTGGCTTGGCCAGGTGGTTAGGGCGCTCGACTCGCAATCTGAGGGTCGCGAGTTCGAATCCCCGTCCTACCAAACATGTTCGCTCTTTCAGCCGTGAAGGCATTATAATGTGATGATCATTCCCACTATTCGTTGGTAAAAGAATAGCCCAGGAGTTAGCGGTGGGTGGAGATAACTAGTCTTTCACTGCTAAATTAGAAACGACTAGTGCAGATAGCCCTTTTGTAGCTTTGCGCGAAATTCAAAAAAGAAACATCGGCGTTGGGTTCTCGATTAAATGATTTTATAAAGGTCAAATCACCTTGAATTGTAGCTTCGACAGTAGCTTTCTTCTCTTTATTGTGGTGTTGATTCCACAGCTCCAGTGAGATTCCAGAGAGTGGTTTTAGCCCCCTGGACTGCACAAAAACAAGAAACGTTTTTTCATAGTCAAAACATTTTACATACTGCTGTGTGAACACTACTTCAAACAAAGTCTTGGGAAAATGTAATGTTTTATCTATTATTAAATTCACATTTTCTAGTTTTAAACTACAAATGGAGCTAAAAAATTATACATTTATTAAGCGAATAACTAAATTTCAAAACACAATGAAAATGTTTCCAAAAAATGAAAGTCAAACATTTTTATTACTTTGACAAAACTTATGAACTCCCTACAAGATTAAGCAGTTGTAATTCCTTACAAATTATGGAAATACATCTCTTTAAAACACATTCGATCTTTTTCTTTTCAGATACGTGTAGACAAAAAAAAGAAATACAGGTCTTAAGTTGTTGCAGAAACGTATAAGGCAAATGTAAATACGTTTTCAATCAGTTTCGTACTGAAATCCTGCTTAGAAAGTTGGAATAACGATTTATAGATAACTGGAAGGTTGATGAAAACTTATTCTTCCTTTCTTACGTGTCGACACTTGGCATGCTCTTGATGGGGACAGTGAATCAAATGTAAAAACTCCCCAAGAATAAGATAATAGCCCTTAAAGAAAACCCGTGAACTTTGTAAACAATCTTTGGATACAACTAATCTAAAATAATGCAATAAAAAGCCAATAACACGACAGGAATTACCAAACAAAGGTAATAGCAAACGAAATGTATGTCTGTATCAATAAATAAAAAACCACATCATCGCAATATTAGGTTTACAGATCTGGACATATCACTGGATTATGATACTCAATGATGTTTGTGTACAAACTTTACTGATTTTTAGACAACTTTGGTACGACTTGTTTTAATAGTTTAAATTTCGCTTTTCATCTACTTGATGTATTACAATAGTTTTGATTTTTATCTAATATTTTTTTTCGCTTTGTTTCACTCTTTGCCAACCATTTTTTCATAGTCTTGATTTAGACTTTTTACCATTACTTCTTACTTAGATCTTCATAGCTTCTATTTAAACAGTTGCTTTAGAATTATTATTTTATTGTTTCCGTATACTTTCTTTAATCCTTTTCAGATTTAAGACTAATATAGTTTTCTCTACGCTTATGTTTATCCTGACTTTATGGCATCTCTATTTACCGTTGAGAACTCACTGGCTGTAATGGGAATTTGTTTCTGGGTTTATTATTTACTTTCAAAAATCTCTCAGTGAATGCAGTTTCTTTAATATTTTAGTTTTAAAGCATTCTTACATGAAATCTCATGGAGCACCCTACAACAAAAAGACTAGAATAATTACTCCTTTCGTAAAGGTAATCTTACATTTTCACTTCAAGTACAACCCTGTAATCTTAAGCAACTTTAGAATTATTTCACTTTAAAGCTCTAGTTTGCATCAAAGACTTCAGATGGCAAAAATTAATGTCATTCGTTTTGTTCTTATTCCAAGAATAGCCCAGTTCCATTTACTTAAACCGAACTCAAACTAAAGTTTCCCAACAAAATGCTTTTTCTCTCGTTGTCTAAAGACTCTTCCACCTACGACTGATCACTAACTATTCAGAATGATTTTTACTATCCAGAATTTTGTCATGTATCTGCTCACATCATCTATCCTGTAGATATTGATCAAGATACTCAAGTTAACCACATAAGTCAATTCAGGTGAATCTTCAGCGCCTCGCGTTTCTTCTTTCAATAAATCGACATGAACTTACAAAGTCCGTTTTGTAACACATTAGTAGTCATTTTCAGACACTACACAAAGGGATCCAGGCTAACCTGCCACCATGGGCATTTTCCTGTAGTAGAGGGTTGTGTTAACGCTCACATACTTTTTCTCTGGATTTATAACCCCTTACACAGTGTTGACGTCAACACCATTATCAACTGATTTTTACTCAGAGGGTTGTGTTGACGTTAATATTCTTATTAACTGGTTTTACGTCTCACCACATAAAGGGTTGAGTTGACGTTAAGCCTTCATAAACTGGTTGTACATTTCACTACACAAAGGGTTATGTTGATGTTAATACCCTGTCCAACCAGATTTATAATCTGCCAAAGTACTTATATCCATACCCGTGTGATTATTGTTATTTTTTCTGACGTATTTTTTAAGTTGTATGAATTAGAGAACAGATTTAGTTTGTTTTATATTTTGAACAATACCTTTAGGACCATTTCATTAGTTACCATTTTGTCCAACTGCCATGTTCCTACGAGCACCATATATTTTGAACAATACCTTTAGGACCATTTCATTAGTTACCATTTTGTCCAACTGCCATGTTCCTACGAGCACCATCACTTCAGCTATCTATTTCTCTGTGTACAATCAAATTGTACTTAAGCACAAAGCTACACAATGGGCTATCTGTGCTCTGCCCACCACGGGTATCGAAACCCGTATTCTAGCGTTCTAAATCCGCAGATATACCGCTGTGCCACTGGGGGCGGTGGCAACTGGAATGAAGGAATGTAATTAATTTCACAGTGTCTGTTTGTTTCAACGCAATGTTGCACAACGGGTAGTCTGCACTGTGTGTTAATATTCAAGTCTTTGCCTGTTCACTGGCTACGTTTCTTTGAGTACTTTATATATTCTCAATCAGATGAAAACAATAACTATACTTCTACTCTCTGAATACGACAAAGGTCATTCGGTCCTAAAGGTGTAAAAGTAAACATTTACCACGTTTTTACTGTCAGAAAACAATGGAGTTCGTTCGTTAAAACGTCAAGTAAGACCCTTACCTTTCGTTGTGTTTGTAATGTAAAAAGTGACTAAATATATTGAAAGCAGTCAACTCAACAAGAATTGGAGGACTTCGGATATTATGCAGAAAGATATACTGTAAAACCAGATAAGGAAACTTGAAGAAAGACTTAGTTTTACCTGTGTTTTGACAGGGTACCGAGTTTCACTGTTTAACTTAGTTTTGGCCCTAGTTTTGTTTCTATCTGTTGTAATGTCTTCTTCCAATAGATGTAACAATAATTTAAGAGGGCAAGTAAAAGTCATACATGAATTCACAGATGCAGACGTGAGTAAAAATGATAAGCTAAAACTACACGCCAGACACAATCCACTGTATTAAGTATAACTGTAAGTCGAGAAGATGAACCGGTATACCTCGTATTCATGAGAAAAATCACGCTAGTCTAGCTAGTTTTAATATACACTCTTTTTATTTTGGCCGTTACGGATTTGACATCTCCAAGTGCTGGTGAACCAAACAAGTAAGTAACCGTGTCACAATAACTGGAGATTTGTTATACAAAATTGTGATTAAGTATGGGTTGACCCAAAAATAAATTGACTGATATACTTCTCTCACGTTAATCATAGGTAAACAAGATCCCATTTTATGCAGTCAACTAAACTGTGTGGTTACTTAAATTAACGACAATAACTTTTTATGCGGGTCGACTAAACTGTAAACTTTCAAGTATTAAAGACAACCACTTTTTATGCCGGTTGGTTAAACTGTGCGCTTACTATAATTGAAGACAACCACTTTTTATGCCAGTTGGCTAAACTGTGCGCTTACTAGCATTGAAGACAAACATTTTTTATGCATGCCGACTAAACTGTGAAATTACTAGAATTGAAGACAAACATTTTTTTATGCATGCCGACTAAACTATGAAATTACTAGAATTGAAGAGAGCCACTTTGTATGCATGCCGACTAAACTGTGAAATTACTAGAATTGAAGACAGCCACTTTTTATGCATGCCGACTAAACTGTGAAATTACTAGAATTGAAGACAAACATTTTTTTATGCATGCCGACTAAACTGTGAAATTACTAGAATTGAAGACAAACATTTTTTTATGCATGCCGACTAAACTGTGAAATTACTAGAATTGAAGACAAACATTTTTTATGCATGTTTGTTTGTTTAGAATTAAGCACAAAGCTACACAAGGGGCTATCTGTGCTCTGCTCACCACGGGTTTCGAAACCTGGTTTCTAGCGTTGTAAGTCCACAAACATACCGCTGTGCCACTGGGGGCTTTTTGCTCTGCCCACCACGGGTATCGAAACCCGGTTTTTAGCGTTGTAAGTCCGCAAACATACCGCTGTACCACTGGGGGCTTTTATGCATGCCGACTAAACTGTGAAATTACTAGAATTGAAAACAACCACTTTTTGTGTAACTAAACTGTGTACATACTAATGAATAGTAAAGCAAGAGGAACAATTATAAACATCTTTAATGAACGTTTGGAAAATACACATAATACACAACGATTTCCAGTCGCTTCTTGTTGCAGATGCTAGTAGTTGATTTTAATTGTCATGTTTAGTACCTAAATATTTAGTTCTCAATCGGTTGATGTGCAATGCTGCAATAGAAAGACTCTTTCCGTGGAAGGAAATTCATATGTTAGTTGATAAAGTGCCAAAAAACACAAATCATATTCTGAAATATGGAATCGAATAGAGATTGATAGGCTGTTCACTAAAATGTTAAGACGACTGGCTGGTAGTCACTACTGCCGTAGTCGTTGGTGCTGTAAATGTGACTTTCTTTGTTTTTCCAGCCCCGGAAACTAACGCTTGAGACTTGGATAATTTAATCTCGTTAGAAGTGTGTGTATGGTTCTATCTTCTTGGTTTTGTCTCTTTGAAAGTTCCTTTACAAGAGAGAAACCATTTATATCCTGTTCATAATTTCTTTCTGTGGATTTGTAAGTTGTGGGCACCAATGTCGATCATACCAAATTTGTGGTAGGAACCAGAACAATTTATATAGGAGGTGTTTCCTGAACTAGCTGGACCATCAGACGAGCTAGAATGAACTTAACAAACACCGAAGCACCCCAAAAGTTCTAGTTTTCTTGCAACTGTAATGTAAATAGTAAGCCCTGCCATAGATCCCGAAAGGCAAATTAATGGAAGTCATTCCGATTGAAAGAAAACGTAATCAGAGTTTCTGGCATTTCTATTTCCAAAAGAAATCATACCAACAGTCCATTAAGGATCACTTATAG